CAAAACAGATTTGCTGGGTGAGATGATGGTAACCACTGTGTGACTAATCACAGTATCTATTTTAGATCATCAGATAGGGAAAGCTCTCATCTACTTTAGCAAGATCTAATAGGACAGCCCTACCAGCCCAGGTTGTCATCATTCCTACCTTCTTTTTTTCCCTGCTTAGGCTCTATGTTTTAATTTTCTTCGGAGGAAATTATTTTTTCAACTGTAATTCTCCTTCCTACATCTCCTCCCTTCTTAAACACATTGTGAAGTGTGAACTTTGTGCTCACTGCAAGCTGGACTCTTAAGTCCAGGACACAACATGAGATAGGCCAGCACTTCCAAAAAGTATTTTGCAAAATTAAATCTAGTCCTGGTTCAGGCAGCCTGTAGCTATAGCCAAAATTACATATGCATATAATCAAATATTGTTACTTAAACTGCATTAAAGCTGTATTTTTGACCCAGTACAGACAAAACCAGTATCCACATGGACAGTGCTCTGCTCTCACATACTGTCATTACTTTGGGTGCTCAAGAACAAATTTAGTCACAAGAAAACTTGGAAGTTCATCAAGTGTATGTACAGAAGACGTGCCATTTTGAGGATAACTGCACACTGAGGACATTTAACAAAACGTGAGAGTGGCTGTGCATCTGAATTTACTACAACATGCTCCAACTTCTACATAGAAATTTAGAATACAGTAAAATGTAGGTAGAAATAAAGAATGCAGAATGCAGTAGAAGTATAGTTTTGCGTGCATGCATTTTTCACCCAGTAAAACCTGAGTAAATCCTAAAGTAAACCTGAGGACTTCTTCAGACTATAGAGTAACTTTTCTTTTTCCTTTGCAAACCTCTTCTGCATTTGAGTCAAGAAAAAGAATTTATTTATATAAAAAAAAGATACTATAAATGCAGTTTCTTACCTGGCCTTAAAAACAATTTTAATGCCCCAAAATATTTTGATAACTACTTTTGCACACTTTGTTAGTTTCAGGATTGCAGCAAGCCCTTATGAATCCTAGGAATAAGAATATCAGATATAGGAATAAACATAACTCTCAGCTATAAAAAATAACTTGCAGAGGTTTACACCTCTGTAAATCTACACTTTGAGCCTTTCTACCTTGCTATGGTCTTTTTTATTGAAATGCTTAAAAAAATGCTTTCATACTGCTCCTGCCACTGATTCCTCAAAATAATGGCTAGGGTGAAATCTTTGCCACATTAAAAAGGAAATTTTATTGGCTATTTCTGTGCCGGCTGGATTTCATTCACAATTCACACGCAGGTGTCATGTAAACAGCACATTGCTGTTAGCTACGCTTCCTCAGACAACACGGCACGCAGCCCCTTCTAATAATGTTTGTCAAATATGACCTCTTTATAAATATTTAATCCTCCCAGCCATTTGTGTTCCGGCACTAAGAACCTAGGAAAGTCAATTTAACCTTCTGAGGTCTTCGTTGAATGAAATAAAACTGCTTTTTCTTATATGGTGTGGTCAACTTCAACACTGAACAGAGACTGTGAGGGTCCTCCAGTGGAAGCCCAGGTAAGTGCAAATATTAGTATGCTCAGAGAAGCCACTTTCAGAGTCAAATAACTTGGCTGCTTTTTAACCAGCTTCATTTCAGCTGTAGGCAATGTGATAACTACTAATCGTCTTACTGCTTCAGGGGCAGGACACCTAAAGCAGAACTAAGCCACCGGTTGTTTTCAGGAGAAAACAGCTATTTCAGGACAGAAACGGTCAGCTGTGAATTCTCATGAGACACTCACTTGCATCCATTGTGGTTCCAAGAAAAAATAAGCACAGGTAGGGTAAATAGGCAAGGAAAAATGTTCATGCACACAGAATGAGCACGGATTTAGGCCTTGGCAAAAATGGCTATGAGAAAGGTAAGTGTGATTGGAAATTCACCATGTAGCCAAACACCAGCTATTCGGAGTTTAAAGACTAACCTAAGCAATAATGCTTTTCAGATCACTAACTTTACCACATTATCAGCTTGCTGGCACCTAGGTCACCTCCAAAGTCCCTAGGAACACAGCAGGGTCTCCATGGGTCGGGGCATGAGCTCAGGATTCAGAGGTCAAGATCGGGGCTCCGAGGCGAGGTTCCAGCATTACCTACTCAGATAATTTTCTTTTTCACTTTACAGGGGCAAAGGTCCACTTAAATGACAAGTATATTTTTCCATTAAACTTGAAATTCTTTGGGATACGACAGTTTCTGCCCATGCCTTCCTGTCAGGTAGCTGGTATCAAAGAAATTTGATATGGCCAAAAAATAAAAATAGAGAATCCTGAAATAATAATACGGAAAAAAAAAATCTGGAAATAGGAATTCCTATTTATAGTTTTCCATACTGGAAACTATTAAAGCAATGGGATTTTCTAACATCTTAGAAACCGCTTTCCCCAAAATCCATAGATCTAAAAGCCAAGCAAGTGTGACTATACACTTGGCAAAAAAAAACCTGATGTGTTATGATGATTTCTGCACATTTGCATGTACTGTAGGATAAAATAGGGACTTTTTCACTTTCATGAAGCATTATAAGGAAGATCTCATAACTCGGTAAAATCATTTCTATAGTGTTGAAAATCATTTAAATTCTGAAGTAGTAACCCCGTTGCTTAGACTATACTGACACCTTATGGTAGTTTTATTATATAATGCAAATAATTTTGAGAGTTAAGATCCAGGATCTAAGTTTAAACGCCATGTTAGCCTGAAACAATTATCTAAATTGGAAGAATTAAGTTAAAACAAAAAGTTAAAAAAGATATCCAAATAATAATTAATATATTTATAATAAAATATTCTTATCTAGGASAGAGATTTTCACCAAATGACTTCAGTGATTTACATTACCCAAACAAAATATACCAGCATGTCTCTTTTCCTCATTAAGTGGATCTGTGAATGGTAGAATTTATAAAACCTGCCTTCTTGGAGCTCTCTTGTGCCTAATAAGAGTTGTCACACTCTACAGCCCAAGAGCTGCTTACTTATCTCAGAATAAAATACATTCTAGAACAACTTTCATGTCACTCCTTCCCATTGCAAGCTTGATTATGGCATACGGAAAAACACATCTTAAAATGGCAAGTCAACTTTTTATTTCAACGGGCAAAACAAGTGCTTGAAATTAATATTTGAAACAATGGTAACATATCTCAGTGATTAAATATTTTGTCCTCTATTACAGTGTATCAATTAAATTAAAAAAAAATTCAAACAGCACATGTTTTCACCAGAAATCATAGAAATTCTTAACTAAACACCTTGGACACATCTGCAACTTCTTTGAAAAGAGCCTAAAGACTACCAGTTCTAGTTCCATTTTAAAAGAATCGTTCATTTGAAGTTAAGAAACTGAGGGAGACAGAAGAAGCAAAACCACTATTTTCCCCTAGGAAGCATGAATAAAGGAAAACAAGAATATTGCAGTTTATCAGCTTCAAAATTTTGAAGGACATCGTGACTATTGGTACAGAGTTCAGAATTGCCCTTATAACCTCTACTACTATTACTTTTGTACAAATAAATTAGCTTTAAAATGCAAAGATTTGATGAAGACTTTTTTTTTTCTTATGTATCTAATCTCTAATTAATGATGTTTTGTATACTGAATTAATCTAACCCATCATTCACCAGAAAACATCCGTGGCATCAAATCCGGAAAAAAAGAAAACGAGCAATTTATCCACCATCCCAATCACAGTCATTCAATCTAATAAAGTAGTCGTTTGTAACGGAACAAAACATGCAGAGATGAAAAATGCCAATAAAAGGGTTGCGCTTAAATTAAATCTGAGCTCAGGCAGCTGCTCTTTATTAACAATAGTTGTCAGAACCAATTAAGCTCCTTTATGAGACAAAAGCAGCCAGCGCTTTATTCCCCAGCAATGCAGCAATCCGAGCCGTGCAGGCTTGGCTGTTCCAAGGAAAACCGACTCTATTCCTATGGGGCTGGCACCAGGTACTTGGGCACGCAGCAGAGAGCAGGGCCAAATCTCCTCTCCCATTTGTTTCAGCCATTCCCTGGCTTCCTGCACCTTGCCCTGCTCCACTCCAGGAGCTGCTGCAGTAATCCGGGTTACTTAAYGGCCGCAGCACTAATGGGTCTCAGGCTGCGCGCGGGAAGGGCTGCGAGAGGAGTTGTTAGGTCAATGATAAAAATGTTGTCATTGATGTATTTTCACAAGAAGCTTCTCCTTTAACTACCTTGRTTTTAATGACTAATTACTGCAGAACGGTGTAAAAACTATTTTTTAAAATGTTTTGCAAAYCTTTACACTTTACTGCATTTTAACAAACTATTAAAAAACACCGAATGATGATTAAGGTACAAGCGAAAACCCTAAGAAAAGCACCAGAATACGTAAGCAAATACAAGCAGGCCATTAATTTGATCTCTGTTGCTCCAGATTCATGAGTATTTGCTCCAGATCTACAACTGCTATAATTTGCAGTAAAAAAGGATTAGTGCCACTGTGATACAGTTCAGAAGAGAGAGGTTACCTAGGATGAGAGAAGGAAAAAAAAAAAAGCTCTATTTTAAAATTAATGCCTAAAATACATAGCAAGTTCTTTTACAGATGCTGCATCAATAGATTAATTGAACTTATCATATGTTTGTGCATGGGTAGAAGTTTAACTGAATTCCTGGTTTATAAGTTTGAGAGTAGGTTTTGTGCAATAAACAAATTGGCATCCCCCTTGTCAGGCATTTTTTGGGTCAGAACCCTTCCAGAAAAGATAAATGCTGATTTTAGAGACATCTAGTAACTCAGATTTTCCTCAGAACCTCTACTCTTTTAACGACAGCTCTCATTTAACAGATGTTTGGAGAGCAATAACTGGAAGAAATAAACTCAAAATTTACTGTAGGTTATACTATCTCTCAAACAAAATATCAAGTCATATATAAGTCTTCCACATAAGTTATTACTAGATAACTTTATGGAAACTTAAAATAAATATGTCTTCCAAGATGAAAATATTAAAAGTTCATTTATTTCCATAGGCAACCTCATTCACGGTACAAAGTGATATGAATTCCTTGAAATGATCACTGTAGCTTTTACATAGCTTTAAAGTATCTGATCTAAAAGTTGATACAAGAATAAATTTGTTTTTGAAGAGCTGTCCAACAAACCAGAGATACACTAATGCCATGCTAGGGCAGTCCCGGTTATGAATCTACAGCAACATCACTTGATACATCTCAGGAGAACTTCAATGTTTAACAACCTAAACATAAAGCTACCACTAATACAGAGACTGTATAATTAGACAAAGAAACAAGTATTTTGCACAAGGCCTGAATTTACTATAACACATTAAAGCAGCTTTGATTTACAGCTTCTTCTCAGAAATCTGTACAGCAGCTCAAAACGTTTCGGAGAAAGACAACGTGGCTTCCGGGGCTTATTGGTTCTGTTGATGCAAGTGGGAGGCCTGGTGCTCAAGGGGATTTGATGCACGAATCCGAGGTTTTAGTGCGTTGGATAATTCCTCGCACAGCAGTCAAAACCTCGTGGGAGGATACGCACAAGGCAGGGCTTCACTCAAGAATTAGCTTACTCAGTCTCCACATTGGTTTCCTCACAAATATTTCAGAGTAAAAGTTCACAACGAGTATATAAAAGGCAGCATATCTCTTATTTTAGCAAAGACCAAAAAAGGGTCACGTACAGAACATAACCTTGCTGTCCTCCTCCAATTTGAAATGGCACCAAGTAGTGATATTCTAACACTTCCCTGCCCTGCCCCAACTAAAAAACTCCCAATGAACAAAGATCATTCTAAAGTCCAAAATTTTCATCTGCAAGGAGAGATCCAGTGCTTCTTTTTGTTTTTAATAAACTTCCTTTTCTTCTCCACTCATGCAGATGTGGGTGCACAAGCATATAATCTTGTAATACTTCATAAAAGGATCCATAATCCATTTTCCATATGGAAACCCTGTGAAGCTGGATTCAGGTCTAACTTCTCGTTTAATTTTTGCTCTCCCRACACAGTGCAACTGAATCAGGTATTACCCTGTAATCTAAATACRCACCTACCTTCCTAGTTGCTGACATGCACGCAACTGAGGTTACAGTACAAAAATTAGCACACTTTTTTCTTGCTTTAAAGGCTGGTGGGGTATTCGTGAAACAAGTGGAAAAGTTGTTACTAAAAAGACAAAACTTAATAGAAAAAGGAAGGTTTTAAATAATAAGGCTGGAAATGTTGCACAGCTCTACATCAAAAAATTCTGCTGTTCACTTGGGGTAGTCAACACTCAGGCAGCCCTAAAAGGCCACAGCAGTCCTGAAGGGCATCTCTTTTTGTGTCACATTGTGGCTGAGGGAGAAAGATACAGCACATTCATTAACACAAACCAGGGAATCCTATCCAATTTCCCCATAAAATTGGTCTCACCTCCCCCCGCTCCCATATAATTGGTGGACTCCCTTACCTTTCCAAAGGCTCCTCTGGTGCTGCTGTCCTCCTAAATAAGCAGGGTATCTTTGGACTTTTCCATAGGCTGCTCTGTACCTTATTTACGGGACTTGTGCAAAAAGGAATGGAAAAACCTGCTCCCTCGTCCTTCCTTGRAATGACACTTGCCATTTCACTCCCTACTTCTCTCCCCTTAGGAGCCCGGGGCTCCTAAGCTAATCAGCAAGTCAGTCCTTTCCAAGGTCCTCTCAGTCAGCCCTGTCAGAGGAGGTTTTTCAAGCCTCTTTAATACAAGTCAATCCATTCAGAGGATTAGTGGGTCTGCTAAAATTAGG